GCTCTAAACTACTCACATAATCTATTATTGTACTCTAAACAACTCACATTAGCTATTATTGTACTCTAAACAACTCACATTAGCTATTATTGTACTCTAAACAACTCACATAATCTATTATTGTACTCTAAACAACTCACATAATCTATTATTGTACTCTAAACAGCTCACATAATCTATTATTGTACTCTAAACTACTCACATAATCTATTATTGTACTCTAAACAACTCACATTAGCTATTATTGCACTCTAAACAACTCACATTAGCTATTATTGTACTCTAAACAACTCACATTAGCTATTATTGTACTCTAAACAACTCACATCATTATTATTGTACTCTAAACAACTCAATCTATTATCGTGCTCTAAACAACTCACAATCTATTATCGTGCTCTAAACAACTCACAATCTATTATCGTGCTCTAAAGAACTCATAATCTATTATCGTGATCTATATAATGTACATTTTCTATTGTGTATGTTATCATGAATCACGTAATACGACGAATTTATTAAGAGTAGTCAATATTTGAAGAATATATTTTTTAGTTAAAACCAAAACAGAATACTAAAATCAGCACGCATAAGATTAGTAAACATTCAAATTCACGTACAAATATGAAATATCAGATACGACGAGCTTAGATGAACACGAAGATGATCGAAATGTTAATTTTTATTATGCAATATCACTAACAATTAAACCTAGCTCATATCAAAACCTCACATAGAAACACACACATTGTTCATCTTCTCAGAATATACTATACAGGTTTTACTGTTTGTTTTTTTAGTGTAAAGTTACATAATGATAACCTGCACTCTATCCACCACACTAAATCAAATTCTTGAGTTTGGGCTTAAGTCCGCAAACTTATGCAAAAACATTTTTGATCCGTCTAATATTTCTCACTAGAGGAGACAAGTCCTAACTGGTGAATGTTACTTTCTAATAGCCTCTTCCGTTCTTGCAGATTATATCTATTCATTGAGAAAATTTCGTTGATGTAATCCAAACTATTAGAATGGTATGTTTGCCAAGTTTCTTCAATGTTTACCTTAAATTATTCATATTCATAATACAGAGTGTTGTTGTTATACAAACATCTACAACACTCATTATATTGATACAGGTAGTTTAAGCTTAATCTAATCTCTCATTTTACAAGTGATGTAGACTTTCAATTTAACATCAGTATCTTCAAGTTACCCTCATCTGATCTTGTTCACCGGCGTATTCAAGAGACTCAAATATGGTCCAGTAACAACGACGCCTGATTTCTAATTTGGCACGGTACCGTCGATACCAACGCTGGATGAGAAGTGCTGCTTTGATAGCTAAAAACAAAACATTATTGCCTTTTTTTTAATGTACCAATTGTTACATACAATCTTATTTCTGGTGTACCACTTGTTACATACAACCTTATTTAGTAATGTACCACTTGTTATATACAACCTTATTTGATAGTATGTAACAAGTGGTACATCAAAAATAAGGTTGTATGTAACAAGTGGTACATCAAAAATAAGGTTGTATGTAACAAGTGGTACATTACTAAATAAGGTTGTATGTAACAAGTGGTACATTACTAAGTGGTACATCACTAAAAAGTTACATACTATATTTTTAGTGATGTACCACTTGTTACATACAACCTTATTTTTGATGTACCACTTGTAATTATTTATTATGTATAACTATTATCCACTCCTTCATTTTATCAAACACTTACAAGTGTTTATCTCTTATCTTATCTGACAACACATATAGAAGTGTTTATCTTTTGTCTTATCTTACAACACATATAGAAGTGTTTATCTCTTGTCTTATCTTACAACACATACAGAAGTGTTTATCTCGTCTTATGTTAAGACACATACAGAAGTGTTTATCTCGTCTTATGTTAAGACACATATAGAAGTATTTATCTCTTGTCTTATCTTACAACACATATAGAAGTGTTTATCTTTTGTCTTATCTTACAACACATATAGAAGTGTTTATCTCTTGTCTTATGTTAAGACACATACAGAAGTGTTTATCTCGTCTTATGTTAAGAATCATACAGAAGTGTTTATCTCGTCTTATCTTACAACACATATAGAAGTGTTTATCTTGATAAAAGAATTAGCACAAAAGATCACATATAAAGTGTAATAAATTTAAAATAAGACCCCATATTCGAAAGCGCTCGAGTTTTGGGTCTTATTTTAAATTTATTAAACTTATAAGTATTTAGATCGTCTAATGCTACTAAACAATTAGAAGTATTTATTTCTTGTCTCATCTTATCAAATACTTAAAATGTTCGCCTTTTTCTACTCAATACTTTGTTTGTTTGTTTTGAATTTCGCGCAAAGCTACACGAGGGCTCTCTGTACTAGCCGTCCCTAACTTAGCAGTGTAGGATTAGAGGGAAGGCAACTAATCATCACCACCCACCTACTACTTCAGACGTGAACAATGATGACAACAAAAGCTCCTTGAAACGTTGAAGTAGTGCTAAAGTTTTCTTCATTACCCATTCAAGCTGTCTCCAAACGTTACTAGAGAACATTTGTTCCTTTTAGTCTTTGAGACTTTTCACTTTCTGTCCACACGCTAAAATACAATATTCCAGGTGGCTTTTTAAAAGACGTAGTTATGTGTCACTGTAAATGTCCAGTATTATCTTACGTCATAGCTGGGACCTCAACGTAATCAAAAACATTTCAATTTTCTTATTGAATGTTCTGGTACACGATCACTCGTAACGTTGACGAAGACTGAGTGTCCATGGATAACAGTGAATTACCACTTTGTTAACACATGGTAACATTGTTTCCATTTTCAAGTGTGCAGTACATAGTACACACTAAAATGTCTTGTAGTATCAATGTCTCTAACCAGCGAAATATTCAATCATTCGGTTTTCTCTTACAATGGAAACAACTTCGACAATATCAAATGCACTAGGTGAAAACACCATTTTGATAGGAAGTACTATTTTCAATAAGTATATCTTTCTTGGAGATTTTAATAGGCAAGTCCTTGCTTCAACCAATATGTTAATTATGGCAAGCAAATGACGTTGTGGTGGTTCAGTTGTGGTCTCTTTTAAGCCTTTCCTTCATACTGAAGATTATGAAATCAATCCATAAAGATTACTATTTTCATTCATCGAGTGTATGCTGGTTAAACTTCTTCTTAAATATTCCTAAGAAAAGCTATATACGGTGGTTTGGAGAATGACTACTATTTGTATGAGTAATGTTAATTTGCCACATCTTCGGTGTGTCCAACATTCGAAGAACGCGGGTATGAAGAAACTGTTCATCTTCTCCACAAGTCCTCAAGTGATTGATACTATTTTTCCATTGCTGTAGAGGAATTGGCCTCCCCCCACTTAAAATTCTCTTACTAAAGAAGGAATTTGTTCTTTTCGTTAAAACTTTCTTGCTTTATTACGGTGATGAAAGTATTGTATAGATAGAAATAAGCATTGGTGGACACACTGTCTTCTACATCCTGTGGAATATCACTATTAATGATTGACACGTTCCTTTAAGAAGAGAGAATTTATCTGCGCTCTCATTGAACTTCAAACCAATGAACATGTTTAGGGTATTCTTGCGAGATGCAGCACTCCATTTAAGTGACTAAAAGTGACCTAGGAACAACTCTCTTAAAGGGAGCTCCTAGAACTGTGACATATCCGTTGAGTGACTCCAGATACTAAAACTAAACTGGAAATAACTCTTTCAGAAGAACGTTTGAAGTGTGAGATGCAGCGTGTCCAATCAAGTAACTTCAGACACTAAAGTTGACTTGGAAACAATTATTTCAGTTGCATGTTTGAAGAAATGCTCTTGGAAGATGTGGCACATCTCGTCAAACGACTCAAAATACTGAAGTTGACCTGGAAACAACTCTTTAGAATCTGATCAATATATATTCTAGTGAACATCTTAATTTGTCTAAATGCAGTTTTGCTTATCATTAACCAAGATAAATTTCAAATTGTATTAAGTTTTTTCATATGTTATAAAAAATTAATTTTGGATGTATAAAGTTTTCTACTTCGGTTCCTCTTGGGTGGATTCATCGCACCTGATCAAATAATACAATTTATCCACTGTCATTTCTTCTCCTTTTTTAACAACACTCTCCAAGTATGCGTTACTTTCTCTCACTTCAGTATTCCAGGCACTATGATCGGAGTTTAGATTTTGGCTATATTTCACACTTTTCTCCTAACAAGGGCTTCTGGGTATACTGTGGTCAATTGTTAAATGTTGGTCATATCATTTATTTTTTCACCTAGCGTTATCTTTAAGATATGTTGTGGTCAGCATTTAGACGTTAGCTATACTTATCATTTTTCACCTAATACCAGTTTCTGGGGATGCTGTAGTTAGTATTCATACATTGGCTATACCAACCATTTATCACCTAACATCCGCTTCTGGGTATTCTGTTACGAGTGTTTAGGCCTTTGCTATAGCTCCCATTCCTCGCCTAACACCGGTTTCTGGTTACGCTGTGGTCATTGTTTATACATTGGCCATATCTGACAATTTTCACCTAACATCATTTTATGTGTTCGCTGTGATCAGCGTATAATGACGTTGGCTATATCTGCCATTTTTTACGTGACACGAGTTTCTGGGTACCCCTCATCTTTAGCCTGGGTACTTTATAAATACTTTGTCTTCTTACGTTTCCAGTTTTCATTTTATTCGTGTTTTATTTTGTCAGTCAATTGGAAGTCTCTTGAAATCACAGTAGTGTCCACAGAACAAACAATCACTCTTTTCTTTGAATTTATGCAGTTGGAGAAATTATTTTGCTCGGCTATGTATCACAGATGATCGGTTACTTAAGTACTGGAAAACTTTTTTTATTTAATTTGACTTCATTTCTCAAACTAAAGTATAAAATTCATTAATATATATAGGTATACAAGTCACAGTATCTTTATAGAACGTTTTTAATTGAGTTACATTTTGCAGTTAAATACTACAATTAAGTATTTTGCATTTACAGTTTATTTACATGAAAATGAATGCATAATTTAAGCTTTATCTCCAAAAAATGGAATGATGCGTTGAAGAAAACCGTTCCGTTAAAGCGTTATGGACTAGGAAAAATGTTTTTGATTAACAAACATAAACTCCAATTAAGGTTTAATTAATGTAGATCTGAATACAAGTTTAACCAGTATAACCCCAATCCACGTTCTGCCAACATAAATCCCAATCCACGTTTAGTCCACATAGTCCCAACCTGTTGAATTATACACGAACTGTTCTTTACGTTAAAATACTTTTCTTTTATTTACGAACATTCGGCCGTCTCGCCTTCATACGTTATGTGTTTTAAAAAACAATCATAAATCACAATCAACGCTTAACCAACCAAAAAAAAACCAATTTATATTTAACCCACACAAATCTGCAACCAACGTTTAATCAACATAAACCCTAACCCACGTTTAGTCATCAAATACCAGTTCAATGGGCAACAATAATGATGGATAATGAGTGCGTGTTTAATTACTATATTAACAACTTCTGAGACATATACCGGTAGTTGTCCCCAGTTGCTATGGACCAGCTGTGCAATACAAATTAAAATATCAAACACACTGCAAACAGTATGTAAACAAAACCTTATAAACACTTTACACATACTGTTGATTAGTAAACAAACCAACTGCAGAGTAATAAGCCACCAAAACACTTGAAAAAGTCAGTAGAGTAAAAACAAAAAATTTCAGAATTTGTCAATCTGACTTACTAACGTTGTTGGAAAGGCATAGCTCTCTCCTGCCTTCACGTTATGTAAATCTAAATGCACCAGATTGAATTATGCTACCCAGGCTAAAAGTTTTTTTTCTTAGTTTTACTTATAACCTGGGTAATAACAAGTAATAACAATAACCATTTTCAACATTACTAATGGCCTAACATTCATGATGTTAGAAAAACAAGTAGGTTCAAGAAGCCTTGATAGAAATGAATAAAAACTTTATAATCCGAGCGCTTTCGAAAGACGGACCTTTCTTCTTCGTGGGCAAAATGGGAATGGTGGTGTAATCTAGCTCCTCGAATCAGTGATCTCCGTTCACTAGTTTCATCTCTGTCAGAAAAATAATTTTTATTCTTTGCTTATTTTTTCATGTAATGTGAACGCTGAATTTCCTAAAACTTACTATTTATTTAAGATAATTTTTCATACCTGTTTTTATAAATTGATTAGCATAACATATATTTTTCAATCAGTCTCCAGGTGTCACCTTTATTTTACTTAAACACTTAAGTATAGTTTTAAATATACATGTATTTAGCCATTTCTAAAGTAAAATATCCATAACTACTTTTCACATACACTCTCGCCATCGGCTACAATGTACCGGAAATGATACACTTACAACAGTACATAGAGAAATAGATTAAACATTTCCTGGTAAACTGGATGACCTTCATGACGTCACTAAACTCCCTATATATATATATATATCACTCATTTGATTACACCATTATTCCCAGTTTGCCCCTGAAGAAGAAAGGTCTACCTTTCGAAAGCGTTCGGGTTATAGGGTTTTGATTCATTACTAATGAGCTAACAATACACTAGTAGCCATATTCTATAATTACGAGCATGCTCCATGAGTTGCCAAGTAACAGCCTGCGTTTAATCATGTGCAGGTGCACAATTGCTTATGCGCACGCGCTACGTGATCAGTCTGCAAGTGTATCCGTGGGCTACGGAGTTTCTCTAGACCTAGGTTGTAAATATGACCTAACCTTTGAAAGCAAAGTTTTCAATTCTATAAATCTGACTCGAGGGTTCTGTGTTGGACAAAGTAATTCTATCACAGCAGTCTTTCGAAGACCATATAATCATGATAATTTGGTGAGATACAGTACCTTGATAGGTAGGATTACATGTAAGGTTAGAATTTAGAAAGTAAGAATGTAAAGGGTGAGTCGATTTGGGATTTTTTTTGGGGGGCGCCAAGTTATGTTTTGTCTCCGGGCACTAGGTACCCTCACTATGCCACAGAGTTTATGCCTAAGACATGAGTCTCCTACATGAGGATGAACGCTACCACTGTCGAACTTTGAACTTTTATCCAATTATAGACTTAAACTGAGTTTTATCAGTAACTAATCCTTTCTAAATACTCAACAAATTTAATATTTCAAAAAGCATTGGTTTTGATACTATTCTGTTCTCTCACCACTTACCAGTCCGATAGCTATAATGTCTTCCACAAGCAAAGTATGACTATTGGAGATTCCTTTCTAGCTTCAGACATCAAACACCCCCTTGTGAAGTCATGCATTTCGTTAGGGTTGCCCCCCCCCCAGTGGCACAGCGGTATATCTGCGGACTTACAATGCTGGAAACCGGGTTTCGATACCCGTTGTGGGCAGGGTACAGATAACCCATTGTGTAGCTTTGTGCATAACTACAAACAATCGTTAGGGTCACGTAATTTGATTACATACATGTATCTGTACTTGGTTTACAACAGAGAAATTTAGCTATATACACTTTTCATTTAGTTTGAACAATTATCAAGTTACAAAAAGCACACGAGGTAGGAATGGGCGGAACGATGGCCACACCCACTTTGAGGTTGTACCATTTTAAAAAACACCAAGTGTTGTAATGTTTTCCCTCCCATTCCTACCTTGTTCCCTTATTTTTGGTGCTCCCATTCCTAATGAAAATTTTTTTACTTAACTTTTTTTATACTTGTACTAATGTATTTCCAATTTGAATACATAGGCGACATCAACACATGAAGATAGTTTCATGATTTACTGAAAACCTGTTAATTCCATTGAGCATTTTGGTTCGTTTCTTGTTTAGCAAATAGACGACAGCAACACACGAAGATCGTTTCTTGTTAAGCAAGTGACGATAGCAACATATGTATATGCGAATACACTAGCGATTGAAATTCAACTTACTTCTTTCTGCTGTACTCATTGCTTCGAGCTTCTCCATTACTTTAGGATCTGAATTTCTGTCCGTTGACCACGCACAACCCATGATTCATTCAATTTTTTTATCCTGACAAGATATTAAGTCTCTCCACCAACATACATTTTTCTCTTTTTGTTTGTTATTCTGTAATAAAAAACCAAAATTCAGTTTTACAACACTTAACACTATTACCATATAAAATTCAGTCATTTGATCAAATATTGCAATACATTGAACTTACCAAAATGAACTAACCTATATATATCACAAAACATGGCTAAAATAGGTCTCATCTAACTAAGCAATAAATATTTAAATATAGTGTACCATAAGATGTTCTCAACATTTGTTTTACTAGCAATAGATTCATGATGGGGAAACCGAAGTTTAATAATGAAGATGAAACGGTTGATAAAACATAAAACAATTTATTTACAAGGTTCGAACGTTTCGGAATAACCTATTCCATTTTCTTTGGCCAGGTGGTTAGGGTGCTCGACTCTCAATCTGCGGGTCGCGGGTTCGAATCCCCGTCACACCAAACATGCTCGCCCTTGCGGCCGCGGGGGCGTTATAATGTGACGGTCAATCCCACTATTCGTTGGTAAAAGAGTATCCCAAAAGTTGGCGGTGGGTGGTGATGACTAGCTGCCTTTCCTCTAGTCTTACGCTGCTAAATTAGGGACGGCTAGCGCAGATAGCCCTCCTGTAGCTTTGCGCGAAATCCATAACAAAAAACAAACATTCCATCTTCAGCGAAATCTGAAAATTTTGTTACAAAGATGATTATTATTAAAATTATAATACAATAACATAATCATTAGTTTAATTAGTCATTAAGAAAAACGGTAAATGGACGGATGAAACAAAGTTTATATATATATATATATATATATATATACACAACAGCTGGGTTAAGTGTGAAAATTTAGAACAATTTTAGATTTAAAGAGCTTTGTGAGTCGTTAAGGGTAGGTCGGTCTTTAGCTATGAGTAGACTTTTTAATGTAGGGGGTCAAGGTCTGAAAATCCTGTGTTTTACTATCGAAGTTTTTACAGATGAATATCTTTGTTTGTAGTTAAACACAAAGCTATACAAGAGACTATCTGTGCTCTGTCCACCACGGGTATCGAAACCCGGTTTCTAGCGTTGTAAGTCCGCAGATATACCGCTGTGCCACTGGGGGGCTTTCAAATGTTTGTTTGTAATTAAGCACAAAGCTACACAATGGACTATCTATGCTTTGCCTACCACGGGTATCGAAACCCGGTTTCTAGCGTTGTAAGGCCGCAGACAAACCGTTGTGCCACTGGGGAGTGGCTTTCAAATGAAACATTTAGTTGTTAGTCCCGAAAGGAGAATTCCGCGTTTTCAGTTTGTTTGTTTTTAGAGCAAAGCCACGGTAAACTATATGAAACATCCACCGCGGTGAATCAAACCCCGGATTTGGGCGTTGTAAGTCCGTAAACTTATTGCTGTCCCACCAGGAGATTCGCGTTTACAGAATATTTGAGTTATTTCGTAGTTTCGAAAAGACTTATGGCATTCTCATTCTCTGTAGCTCCCTAGTAGATTTTAGGTTATAAAATTAATTTAAAAAAACCTATCTTACCTTTGATAAGATAGCTGTCAATCGCTTTTACTTGCTAATTCCATAACAGCTTTGTTCGCTCAGTACAGCCCCATCTATTGGATTTTAAGTGTTCAATTAATTTATACAAAATGTAAATTCAAACCAAAAGAGGGCAGTTACACTAACTTGTAACGAAATAAGGAAGCTTTATTTTTATCAGTTAGACCTAACTAAATAACATCAAGTATCGAAAATATAGAAATGAGAATTTACTAGTCTATGACAACATTTTCTGTGAAATACAGAAACTAAGTCATATTTGCGGAACCTTTAAATAATATATAATTTATACTTCAAACCGTCGGTACTTGTTGAAACTCCATAATAACAAAATTGAGGAAAAACCAAGACAATTGTACATTTCACAAATACATTAGTTATTCACAACCATGGTTTCGCCAATAAAATCATCATCAGGTACTTTTTTTTCTCAATTTTATTTAATATTCTTAATTTATAGATATCTGTTAGCGAAGGATTTAATAACATACAGATTCCTAAAGTCTAGCCTGTTGGTGAAAAGGCGATTTAATAATTAATTACAGTTCCTTCTGATTACTTAATATTTTTACTAATATTGTAAAAAAAAGAGGTTTAGTTTGTTTGAAGTTAAGCACAAAGCTACACAATGGGCTATCTGTGCTCTGCCCAACACAGATATCGAAACCCGGTTTCTAACGTTGTAAGTCCGCAGACATACCGCGGTGCCACTGGGGAAGGGGGCAAGAGGTTTAGCTAAACAGTGGAATCAACTCATTAAAGAAGATAAATTATAGTTGTATTTTAAGCATAATTCCGATAAAAATATTCAACTGAAATGGCGACTGTTAAGTTCATTAACAATTTTATAAACGAACTTAGTAATACGTGACTATTGTTTGGATAAATCCTTAATTTACAATAATCTAATTATGTCCTTTGATAACAATAATGATGAGCAGGGAATTTAAGTCCAGTTTAGAAGTGTTACATCTAGTTAAGTGAAAACTGTCTGAGAGATCTGATCAGTGCACGAAACTTGTCTCAATAATTAGTTCTTTCTTCTTTTTTTTTCCAGTAGCAGAATGGGGAATTAAGAACTATTAAGATAAGAGTTTAAATTCTTTTAACATAATTTAGTATTATTAACTAAAAGATTGGGAGTTTTTCGTTGCAGAAATTTAGGGTGGTTTAATTCTACTTTAAGGTTGTATCTAAATATTAAGGGTAGCTGCCTTCCAAAAACTGGCTGCAGACAGCGAAAGGCAGTAGGAGTTGAGACGTGTGGGTTTAAGCACTCAACCCTTAACCTTTAGCTGACTTTCCTTAGTTGCTGGCTAGTTTGACATAAGCGTCTGGATCTTGTCTGATAGTTGGAATATCCCCAACACGTTTGGATGCTACGGCTGTAGAAACTATCTGTTACGACGACAAAGACCGGTAATGAGAAAATTAACTGATTTTTGAGTCTCTTTATAATGTTTTGATATATTTATATATTGGTTGTATGATGTACATATTAGGTTACAGGGTTTAGCGTTTATATTAGAGCCTGCAACTAATGAATAATACCTTTTAAGTTTGGATGTTTTCCATGAGTACACATTGATTTCTATGTTGTATGAAGTGAGACATTTACAAATCAGGGTTACACGTTAATTTTTGTATTCTAGGCTATATGATAGTCTTAGACTTAGGATTATGTAATCTTAAATTTAACACTAATAGCTCTGAGGTTGCTATGATAAGTAACTTAGAATTATATGACGTGCAACAGATCTAGCTAACAGTTGTTACGGTAGCTGGGGTACACAGTTTGCTTCCTGTTGTGTTACAAATATTGTCCGACTAACGAGATATCAGATTCCAACCTGATTTTGCAACAAACATATTAGCAACGTTCAGACGTAATAAAAACTGTTCTTGTAATATTAAACGATAGGTTGTGTAATTAAAACACCTCATTCCTATAATACTTAAAATATTGTCACGTGCATATTTTAACAAACAACACTACCTAATCATTATAATTACTTGCAAGAATTACAAGATGAAATATTCTGAAACCTTAGTTATCCTATGCTTGTGGTTACGATACAAGGTTAAACATTTAAAATGTCTAAATGGTTCTACGGTAGTAGGTTAAGTAGTTAAAACACCTAAAGGATTCTTTACTTGTTTTTATGGTACAGGGTTAAGTAATTAAAACACCTATAGGGTCATATACTTGTCTTTATAGTACAAGGTTAAGTGGTTAAAACTTCTAAAGGGTTCTATACTTGTTTTTATGGTACAAAGTTGTGTATTTAAAACACCTAAACGATTCTTTACTTGTTTTTATGGTATAAGATTAAGTAGTTAAAACATCTATAAGGTCCTTTACTTTACAATGTTAAGTAGTTAGAACAACTATAGGGTCCTATACTTGTCTTTATGGTACGGGGCTAAATAGCTCAAATACCTAAAGGATTCTATATTTGTTTTTATGTTAAAAGGTTAAGTAGTTAAAACACCTAAGGAATTCTTTACTTGTTTTTAAGTAGTTAAAACACCTAAAGGGTCCTATATTTGTCTTTATGGTACAAGGTTAAGTAGTTAAAACACCTAAACGATTCTATACTTGTTTTTATGGTATAATGTTGAGTAGTTAAAATACCTAAAGTATTCTATACTGGTTTTTAAGTAGTTGAAACACCTATAGGGTCCTCTGCTTATCTTTATGGTACGGGGCTAAATAGTTAAAATACCAAAAGGATTCTATACTTGTTTTTATGTTAAAAGGTTAAGTAGTTAAAACACCTATAGGGTCCTATGCTTATCTTTATGGCACGGGGCTAAATAGTTAAAATACCTAAACTAAAGTATTCTATACTTGTTTTTAAATAGTTGAAACACCTATAGGGTCCTATACTTGTCTCTATGATACAAGGTTAAGTAGTTAAAATACCTAAAGGATTATATACTTGTTTTTATGGTGGAATGTTAAGTAGTTAAAACACCTAGAGGGTTCTATACTTGTTTTTATGGTACAAAGTTAAGTAGTTAAAATACCTAAAGGATTCTAGACTTATCTTTATGGATAAGTAACATTAAAAGAATATTAAATACGGATACAAGACAAGAAATGATAGGTTTATTAGAAAGTTCGTCGGATGTACTACAAATTATTCTTAATGTTCGTGTGTTTCACCAATAGTTCTAATTGATGGAATATCATATCATTAATTATAACGTACTCAATACCCTACTTATAATTATAATTTTCCGAATATCATATTTTAAACTATAATTTCCTGATTTTCGTACTAGTAATTCTCATTAATGGAATATCCTGCTTGTAAATATCACTTCCTGAATACCCTCACTTTCGTATGTAATTAGCAAACAACCCAAAATTTAGTTACTTAAAACTACTTTCTGTTCACTTATAATTTTAGTCTTTCGACTTATCCCTTTCCAGGGTTAATGATGAGGGTAGAATTCTCCGAAACCAGTATAACTTAGGAACAAGTGGTAAACTGAATGATAGATTGAACTTCAAATTTATTTTTTAGTGCGTTAAATAGCTTTCCTGGCTAAATAATTCACAAGAATAAATTAGTAACATTAATTCTTCATATTCGTGAGATTCATATTTAAGTATAAGATTAATGTGTGAAAAAAGGCATTTCAAAATACCATACATATAATATACACTCCACTACTATGTGAAGCTTAGTCATTTATTTTTCGATTTATCTGTGTTCAGATATAATTCGATAGTAAGTGGTATATCGAATACTAGATTAGACCCATACATTAGTTTCTTCAACCTACTTCCCCTTACCCTTTAATTAGTTAGTGATCCAAGCTTGGTTGATTAAAGTTTCGTTCTGTTGGTATATAGAATACTAGGATAGACCCATACATTAGTTTCTTTAACCTACTTTCCTATTTTCTATGATTAGTTAGTGATCCAAGCTTAAGCGATTAAAGTTTCGTTCTGTTTGCGTATAATAGTTAGTAAATAACCCTCGCGTTGGTGGCTTAATTCTATTTTCCGTTTAGGTATAATAATTGTGTTTGTTTTAGAGCAAAGTTACATTGGGCTGACCTCAGATTTTAGTGTTGTACATAATAATTAGTGAACGATCCATACTTTGAATGCTTAAGACTACATTTTGTTCATGGATAATTTTTAAACTGCTCTCATTTGAATTTAGGAAAGAACATCGCCAAATACAAGTTACTGGTCATCATATTAACAAACACGGATTACTGGTTATCATATAACCTTGCTACTGCTCACCAGATAAATTATAAACCCAACTTAATTTAATTGGAATGTATCTCCTATGACAGAGTTTAGTCACATTAACATGCTTACATGTACAGAATATGATTTGCTCCCTATAAGTTTATAGCAGATGCTGACCAATGTGAAAAGTACGACGACTTGATTCATGGCATACATATGCTGAGAATATGTGTAAAATGATTTCCTTTTATCTAAACTTTTAAACAGAGCCAGCTGAGTCGATGGAAGAAGAATTCAAAAGTTGCCACGGCGCTTCTGTCACTTTTCTACCTGACCTAGAACTTCAAAATGATCTCATTGTGGGTTTATTTCCCTTCATCTTATCACTACCCTCACCCCAAATATGGATTATATATTAAATAGAACATTGAAGTTTGGGCAGAGTTTACAAGGTTGACATTTTGATCGACAGAAAAATTACTATGCGTTTATTGCTTAAGAAATAAGATAGAAAGGATGAACTCACCAGTTATGTCGTGTTGTAGTCTCCTACAATACAAGAATAACCAGCTGTGGATCTCAACATACACAGGTGGCGTATTTCTAACTCTGCCGTTTGGCATTGGTTTACCAAGTCCTGTAGCATGGGTGGTGGCTGACCTAGTTCCTCCAGTAACCGCTCGAGGGCGTCACCTGATTCTTTAGACAGGTAAGCCATAAAGTATCAGGATAAACCGGTACTAAATTTTTATTTCAATATTATTTGTTGAAAAGCTTTGTAACTACAACTCTGAAACACTTGAAGTCATTAACTACAAAAAGTGAAATGCTAGACTGCTGCGTTGTTCTAAAGTTGAACTTTGTTATGAAATTGAGGAAGTAACAACATATTTAATAACGTGACCGCTCAAGATGAACGAAGTTTCCACTTACACTTTTGGAACAAGAGTCTCATATTTAATGATAACAAGTTTTGAGTAATTAGATTGATAGGTTTGCTTTTATTTTATTTTTTTCAAAACCAGACGAGAGTTATGAATTAGCAGAATACTTTACAGAAATGTCTTTTAGTACGATAACAAGTATCTTTCTAGCTACCTAGTTCTCCATTTAAAAGGTACCGAGAGTCAAGTATAAGTTTAGTTTCATGTTAAAAAGCTGTCAAATGTGGCGCCCTCTGTAAACAAAGTATTTACATATTTTAATTTTCGATTGTCACAAAACAGTATACTGTAACTGAAAGTTGATTTATCACAAAAAGCACAATGTTTGTTAGGATTACGCACACCATGTTTTATTTCTTAGTTATTAAAGCCCTAGGTCTGTATGACTACAGCCTGGTTGTTCGCATAGTAGCTTTAAACCACTGTGACTAATATATGGAAGAAAAATTGTATAGCTGTTTGAATTCACTTGACCTTAGCTACAAACGGTTTGTTTGTTTGTTTTTGAATTTCGCGCAAAGCTACACGAG